ATTGGTGAATGCCACAAATTCTCCTAAATCACTCGTACGCACAACTTAAGAACAAATCTGTGCGTACGAACCGTTCTTGCATGAGGCCCAATAATCCTGCCTGTCATGAACTCAGGTAATACCAGGTCTGAACAGGTACCTCCATGATAGCTGTGATGGTGGTGGTGAGGGGTGGAAGTGTGGTGGTGCTGACAGGATCTTTCCTCTCCTCCTCCTCTTTCCGCTTCGTCTTGTACTGGAGTGAAGTTTTCCCACATTGAGTTATCACACAGCCACCTGGTGCAAGTTCAAATCGTGTGTAGAAAGTGTCTTACCTGCTGAAAACAAGCCTGCACCAAATTTTCTGGAAACATGTTTCTGATGATGAAGCAGAGATTTATTGTTGATCACTGTTGTTTGACACAACCTCTCCTTCACAACATCATAAACTTTACAGGGAGGTTTAAACTTAATCCTTTAAGTTGTTTATTAGGCACAATCCAGCAGGATGAGGCTACCTATGAGCTCACAGAAGAAGGAGAATATTGGCCTCTGACCCGTTTTACTACAGTCCACACTAGTGAACTCATCTGACTCATTAGACTGATGGAATATGAACATGTTTTTATGAGAGAACATCATGCAACTTTTAAAAATGGTTATGAAAACAAATAACTCACTTTAAAAGATGGATTAAATTTACACCCAGACCTGTCTGTAAAATTTAAATAAAGTCACTTTAGATAGTTTGTTGCATTTTCAACATCTCATGGTCAGATTTTTCCTTTTGTCTGATTTATTTCTCATGAYGGAGTATTAAAACTGTCATGGTCTGTGTTTATTTTCCTTAGTTTTCTAGTGCTTTCAGTGTTCCCCCGTGTTTCTCTGCCCTGCAGCCCCGCCCTCTCTCACCTGTGTCCTCTTGTGTCTGCTCCAGGTGTGTCTTGTTGCCCTAATTAGTTTACCTTTACATTCTGTGTCCTGTATTCAGTGTTTGTCCGATCATTGTGCTGCTTCCCTCGGCCAGTGAGGAGTCCTGCGTCTCCTTCGTGTTCCAGTGAGTTTTTCTGCAGTGTCAGCTGTTATTTTGGTTTTCTTAATAAACTTTTATTTTTGCACTTTGGATCCTGCCTGCACCCTGGGTCATTCTACACATCCTCACAAAAACCACATTAAGAGATTTTATCTTTTTTAAATATAAGATTAGTCATGACATAACGTGAATAAAGTTATAATGTTATGAGAACAAAGCTGTACTATTA